GTAACCCACTTGGACACTGAACTGCCATGGGCTACATCTGTGCAGGGGGTCTAGGTTATCACCATGAATAGTCCTTGGTTGGAGTATGAGTCTCTGGGAAGTTCCCTGTGTTCAAATTTTCTTGTTCTGTTGCTCTCCTTGTGGAGACCCTGTCCTCTCCAGCTCTTACTATTTCCCACTTCTTACATAAAATTCCATTCACTCTACCCAACAGTTGGCCAACAGGCTCAGCATCTGCTTTGATAGTCTGCAGGGCAGATGCTTTCAGAGGCCCTCTGTGGTAGGTTCCTTGTTTGTTTCCTGTTTTCTTCTTCTGGCTTTCAGAAGCCCTCTGTAGAAGGTTCCTAGGTTGTTTCTTGTTTTCTTCTTCTTCTGATGTCCATCCTCTTTGCCTTTCAGGATGGGGATTGACCGTTTTAGTTAGGGTCCTCTCTCTTGCTTAGTTTCTTTAGATGCACAGATTTTAGTGGGTTTGTCCTATGTTGTATGTATTTATGAGTGAGTATATACCGTGTGTGTCTTTTTGCTTCTGGGACAACTCACTTAGGATGATCCTTTCCAGGTCCCACCATTTACCTGCAAATTTCATGGAACTATTATAGTGAATATTTAGGACACAAGTAGCTTGGTGGTCTCCTAATGTCATGAGAAATTGGGTTGTACAAAGGATTACTAAGGATACAGTATCACAAGATGAAGTGGAGAATTAAGAATAACCCTCACAGAAGGAAACAGTAATGGAAATAGTATCCCTATATAAAGACCACTTTGGGAATTTTTTTTGCTTAAATGGACCTAAAGGAAGCTTTAATTAAGCAGGAAGTGATGTTCAGAGCATTTTTTTTTATTATTCCATCTTTAACACTCTTTACATATATTAAAGAAAATATTTTCATTCTTAAGCACACTGTGTCATGATTAAATTCTGCATCAATTTTCATACTTTCTCCTCTGCCACTTTCTAAACTCTAATAACCATTTTACATATTTGAGTCTTTAAATAACCAACCGCTGCTCTGAGAAAGAATATGCAATATCTTTTAGGTCTTGTTTACTTCTTTAACTTAATGTCTTGTAGTTACATTCTTTTTCTGGAAAGCATACTATGATGATATATATTATATTTAAATAATATTCCATTATATTGTATCCAGTATATTTATGTTTCTAAATATACATCAGAGTGTATTTATCAGTATAAATGTTTAGTATATTTAACAGTATATTTACTGTACTTCACCATATTCTGCAAATTGTTCACATGCTATGATAAACATGGATTTACAGTATCTTTAATGAATGCTTATTTACTCTGTTATTCTTTATTGTTATTATTAATTTCTTTCTATCAGATCAGGTGAGAATACAGAAGATATGCACATTGGGTGTAAAAGAAACAGCTCATTCGTACACAGTCTATACTGCTTTTGCACCATGATCTGAGTTCTACTCCCAAAATGATTATCTGGCTGCTCACCAATACTTGTAATTCCAGTTTTAGGAGTTCTAACACTATTGTTTGGACTCCCTGGCCATATACATCCATGTATTTACATATAGATACATGTAGAAACATAATTAAATGTTACAACAAAAGCAAATCCTCTTTTTTAAAAAAAACTTTACTTTTCCCTATTGTAAGTATAGAATTCTTTTAAGCCCCAAACATTGTGTAATCATAGAGGTCAAATATGAATACTAAACTATGCAAATGTTAAATGAAAAGAGGTAATTATTCTTTTTTAAAAGATTTATTTTTTTCACAGGATTCCCTGTGCTCTGCTCAAAGTTTGGCTATGAGTCTTAGCATCTGCTTAGATACCCTGTTAGGCAGAGTCTTTCAGGGGTGCTCTGTGGTAGGCTTCTGTCCTTTTCCCATGTACAAATAGCACTAATTGGACTTAGTGGACTATAAAGAAAGATGAAGAATGTAAAGTTTAGAGGATAACGTATTGTGTGTCCTTGGAGCAAGTAAAGGCATGAGTAGGATGTAGATATGCTCTACACATGCATGTGTATATATCATATTAATGTATTAAAGTCACAGGAAATGAATACACATTCTCAAATAAGCATATTACATATAAATATTTCTCAAAGTGGGAAATAGACTTTTTGCCAATTTTTAAGAGTTATTATATTTAGGGGTCTGAGAGAAGGCTTAGTGGTTCAGAGCACTTCCTGTTTTTCCAGAGAACTCAAGGGCATGGGCACACGCACACAGTACATATACACACATTTGTGAACACACATATACACATAAATAAAAACTTCAAATCTACAGAATAATAGAAATCTACTTTAATTTGTATATTTAAAATGCTAAATTAATTTTATAAATAAAACTCTTTTATAATGATACTGAGCCTACTGAGACTAGGCTACAAAAAATATGATTTAAGAAAACATATAAGGAAACTCATTGGCACTTCCAAAATATGGAAACATGCATGCAAGTAGGGAATAATTCTTTTCTAAGTAATACAATATATTTCATTTCTAATAGACTGTAAGAGAACATTCAATTAACTTTATTTACAGAGTAAAAGTTATGCTGCCACAGTTTTAGTCAGCGCTTGAGAGGCTGTTTAACTTCTCCTTTACCACATACAGTATCACATATACAACACATCATTAAATATGAACGTTGCATCTCAGATACACAGTGTCAGCTGTGATAAAGAATTGATTTAAAATATTTAAATATTAGCAATGTTAGTATTTTCAGAAAGGACAGGGCAAGATAAGATTTCTGTTGTATTACTGTAACTGATATATAAGATAAAAATATAGACTAAACAGATAGAAATATAGATAAAAATAAGAACACTTATATCACAAACTCTTGGCTCCTGGTGAAAAAAAAAAAAAGACAAAATTTTATGTTTGAATATGTTAGACTTAAGGTGTCTCTGCCATATTAGATCCTAAAATGTCATCTCTAAGAAGTTTAAATATCTCTTACTAACATAAAATTACTGAGATAATCTCCAGTTCTGTATTTTAGAAATAAAACTGATAATGTTGGCTTTGATGTTCTTTCAGAAGAATATGATTAGAAGTAATAATCTTCACCAGTAATTATGTTGGCTACAAAAGGTTACTTCCTCCTCCTCTGAGGGCCTCATCTGGGGTTGCGGTTAACTTGGCCTTAATGAATGAGGCATAAATCATTTAATAGGTTTGAAAACGACCTCAGTAACTTTAACAGCTCACCTAGCATTCCACTACACAAATACAGATTCTCAAAATAATATGGGTCCATAAAATAAAAGGAATTCAACAAAAGATCCCAAGCAATTCAGTTAAATAGTAACCATATGAGCTGTACATGCTTTACTCAAAATATTACATAAAAATAATGAATAGATTTTTTACAAATGGTTCAATGTCAGTCTAACAATCAATGAAATCTCTATGTCTTACTGAAACATTTGATGAGTTAGAATGGCACCATGAGGTCAATAGCCAGTAAGAAATGGCAGTGACTCTACAGAGAAACTTGATCATTCATAAACTACTGTTGGGCAAGTTGTTATACTGGTTATAAAACCAGTATAAGGTTTCTTAAAAGCTATCAGAATAAGTACTGTTTTGTAAAACTCTGTCTGAAATGCATCAAAATCTGTAGAAACAGAGATAAATGTGTATGATTTATGTATGCATTTTTTATCCAATTGCACCAATACTCACAACAGACCAGATAAGAAATGAATTTTAGGCAATACTCAGTGGATATATGTGTAAAGGAGAAAAATAGCACAGAGACACAATAAAGTTCTGTTTCACCATAAAAAAAATCATTTATTATCATTTTAGGCAACATAAACTAAACTATTTTGTTAAGGAGAAATAGGTACAGCATCAAAATTGTCATATTTTCTCAGGTGCTTGTGAAACGCAAAGATGATTTCACAGCTTAGAATATAATACTGTTTGCGACAAATTTGGAAAGAAATGGGTGAAGCATAGGCAGAGAAGGATCAATAAGTACACGCTGTACCTGGATAGATGAACTAACTTCTAGTGTTCCTTAGTATGGTTCACAAGAAAGAACAACATAAATTCAAATGAGATTGGGTGTTAACCATGGCAAATTATGGTAAATTAATGGTAAATATTGGAAGTAGCACTTTGCCTAATTGCCATGATTTGATCATTACACATTTTCTCCATATGTTAAAATGTCTACTTGCAGTTCACAGATAAGTGTAACTTCTAATTATCTGTGTTGATATAAATCAATAAGATCAATAGCCCATCTTCTGTTGTATACATGTTTATATACATATTGATATATGTATATGTACAAATACACATGCATGGTTCACTTTTCAATAACACACAGACACACACCCACACTCTTTGTGACTGAGCTTGAAACATGAGAAAATAAACTGATAATAGAATTGAACCAACATACAGAAAAATGAACTAAATACAAGATTAGATCTATTTGGCATTATGTTATCCACTGAATTTAGAAGGATTAGTGAAGGGATGATAAGGCATTCAGACATTTCAGGAATCTTCTCACAGTGATTTACCTCTAGGATCTATCCAAGAAGGTAACATATTTATAAGATGGAAGGTATCCTACCTATGAGTTTCCTCAAGGCTTCCTTCATATCTTTGTTCCTTAAGCTGTAGATGAAGGGGTTCAGCATCTGAGTCACCACAGTATACATCACTGATGCCGCTGCTGTGATCCTGGGAGAGTCAGTTACTGCTGAGCTAATGCACACACCTAAACCTGTCCCATAAAATAAAGAAATGACTGACAGATGAGACCCACAGGTAGAAAAGGCTTTATATCTTCCTTGCACAGACTGTATTTTCAAAACAGAGGAGACAATTTCAGTATAAGAGAAAATGATTCCGGAAAAAGTAATGCCACCAAATGTTAAACCTGCAATGTATATCAGTAAATTGTTGATGAATGTGTCAGAACAGGCTATGTTGATGACCTGTGTAATTTCACAAAAGAAGTGGGGAATTTCCAAGTCTTTGCAGAAGGACAACCAGAGCACCGTGAGGCTGAGAAGTAAAGCATTTACAGTGCTACTGATCAGGGAGAATAGGACGAGTAGACTACACAGACGCCAACTCATGATAACTGTGTACCTCAAAGGATAGCAAATAGCCACATAGCGATCATATGCCATGGCTGCAAGAAGGCAACACTCCAGGCTAGCAAAAAGCATGGCAAAGCAAGCCTGAGTAAGGCATCCTGCAAAGGTTATGCTTAGATTCCGTTCTTGGATGCTCACCAGCATCTTTGGGATTGTTGTGGTGCTTGTGCAAATATCAGTCAAGGAGAGGTTGGAGATAAAGAAGTACATGGGAGTATGGAGATGGGAATCTGAATGGATGGCCAAGATGATGAACATATTTCCAATCACTGTGATCAGGTAAATGGACAGAAATAGTCCAAACATGACAGGCTGCAATTCTGGGTCACTGGAAAGGCCTAGGAGGAGAAAGTCAGCAGCAGCTGTTTGGTTTGTGAGTCCCATAATTTCACATGCTGAAAAAAAAAAATCAGGGGTGATTGTATAGAAAAAAGGACCACCAGTTTAAAATTTATGACGTGCTTCATGAAGTAAATGCTATTTCCCTCTTTGTTTTGTCATCTCCACTCTCCATCCATCTGTGAATCTATTCCTACTTGTTTCCCTTTCTGTCGTTGTTAATCTTTTCTCTCTTAAGTTTCCCCTCTTTCCACCCATCTGATTTATCACTTGATTGTTTTAATTTTATTTACTACATATTTTCTCTTGTACCACATTATACTAATTAATAACATGGTATATTATAGGTAGATGTTTAACTGAAAAAAAAAAGAGCTATAACCAGTGGGAAGCCAAAAGGAATATTACATTCAATATAAACTAACATAATTAACATAAAATTAGATTTTAAATTAAACACATCTGAGTTCAACTGAAGCTCATTTGTAAGTAAAAATATATACATTGAACTCTCTGAGCTACTTCAGTGTATTCATTAATAATACCGCAGAACACCATAAATCCTAGCCACGAGTCAAGTGAGTCATAAAATAAATATGTTTGTTTTTTGAAAATAGATTTTGATACCTAATATGCCTTTAGCATTTTCATTGTGCTTTAGTTTTGCTTTTGGCACACCAAATTATGCATTCCATACACCTTCTTCATGTTCTTATTTCACAACCACGGAAATGACTTATAGTAAAGCACTGATGCCTGTGCACACATTAAGTCAAAAGCCTTCAGAATGCTTTGGTGTCATCATGAACGAATGGCTGTAGTTATTTTCCTGATATAAAACACACTTCACAAGAAACAAACACAGGAAAGATCATGCCTACTCTACAGCACTGAAGTGATGGTACCTGAGTCCAGAGGCAGCTGTGCCGGATACTGACCAGAGAAGAATGTTGTTTGGGGATGGGATCTCAGGTTTATATTTATAGTCTCTGTAACACCTGGGATTTTAAGAATAAAAATGTATTCATTAATGAAACCTTTTACTATCATGTGATTAAAGGGCAGCACAAATCCTTAAGGAGGAAGGAAGCCTGGCTGATGAAAAAATTGCTTTAGGGGATTAACTCAGGCAGAGAGCCAGATAGGGCCGGCCCATGTTCCACTAGCCTGTGACGTATGTACTCACATTCATTAGCGCACTGCGAATTTCAGTGTCTCCTAGTTCAATTTTTATACCTTCCTTAACAACTGTGAAAATTTGACAATGTGGTTTAGCTTATAAATGTAATAATTTATGTATATTTAGCAGAATGCATTCTAGATATGTGACTATGATCATATCAACACTGAATGCCATAAACACAATTGTGTTATCTATACTCTTACATGGTTATATCTTATATGACTCAGAAAATTAATTTTTTAATTATATTTTCATTTAATAAGATATACTACATAATTAGATACAGGTTGATAACACATTCTTGCTATTTGTTTGGGGATATATTTAGCATAAATAAAAATGCATATTTACATATATTATAAATATTGAAGTTCAGCATGTATCCATCATGAAATTCTTGACAAAGTTTCGTTTAGGAAGGTCACATATTAGCAAAAAACAAGACAAGCACATTACCGCATAATGTTAAATTGGATATTCTTGAAAATATTTCTTGTAGCATCATGGATAAGCTAAAGGACTTGACTGTCAACCCAAAACTGAAACAGCCGCTGCCTTCAGTCACACATATTGCCCAAACTGAAAGTAATGCAGAAAAAAAAATCAAGAAACCAAATTCAGGTTTAAATGACACTATATTTTAAATAGATTTTGCAAAAATACCTTCAAAATGCACATTCTTTTCAGCCTTTCATAGTACTTTCTCCAAAACTGACCATGAATTAGAAAATTAAACAAATATAAAATTCAAAATATCTTATAGAATTGTAATATATAACAGCAGAATGGTGAAAAAATAATCAAAAGGAAAACTGCAAGAAAGTACATATTTACATTGAGTCATGTGGTTTTGAACAAACATTTTTGTTATCAAAAAAGAATGCAAGAGTCTCAGCATCTGCTTTAATACCCTACTGGGTAGAGTCTTTCAGAGTCCCTCTGTGGTAAGCTCTTGTCCTGTTCCCTGTTTTCTCCCTCTTCTGATGTCCATCCCGTTTGCCTTTCCAAATGAGGATTGAACATCTTACCAGAGTCCTCCTTCTTGATTAGCTTCTTAAAATGTACAGATTTTATATGTCTATATTATATGTATAATATCCATTTATGAGTGAGCATATACCCTGTGTGTATTTCTGCTTCTGGGATACCTCACTCACAGAGGAAGACAATGTAGCTACTCCTGATCGGGCAGGTGGGATTTGGAGGGAAAGAAAGAGGGAGCTACAGGTGGGAAACAAAGTGAATAAACTGTAATTAATAAAAATAAAATATATCTTTAAAAAGAATGCAAGAGTGTAATTATTTTTTCTGTTTTTATAATTAATTTTATTTATATATTTATTTATTACAGTTTATTCACTTTGTTTCCCCACTGCAGGCCCCTCCATTGTCTCCACACAGTTCTACCCACCCTCCCTCTTCTCCCCCTATGCCTTTTCCCTAGTCCCCTGATAGGAGAGGACCTCCTCCCCTTCTATCTGACCTTAGCTTATCAGATCTCATCAAGGCTGGCTGCATCATCTCCCTCTGTGGCCTGGCAAGGCTGTACCCCACAAGAGGAGGTAATCAAAGAGTTGAAGGTGATCAAAGAGTTCATGTCAGAGACAGCCACTGTACCCCTCAATAGGGAACCTATTTGAAAACTGAGCAGCCAATGGGCTTCCACTGAACAGGAGGTCTAGGTCCTCTCCATGCATGATCCTTAGTTGGAGCTCTGGGTCAAGGTTTTTTGGCTCTGTTGCTCTCTTTGTGGAGTTCCTGTCCCCTCCAGGTCTCTCTATCTCCCTTTTTCCATAAGGATTCCGGCACTCTGCCCAAAGTTTGGTTATGAGTCTCAGTATCACCTTCAATACCCTGGTGGTATTATTGAAGGTATAGAGTCTTTCAGAGGTATTCTACAGAAGGCTCCTGTCCTGTTCCTTGTCTTCTTCTACTTCCAATGTCTAGATGTCTATCCTGTTTGCCCTTCTGAATGAGGATTAAGCATCTTCCCTAGGGTCCTTCTTGTTGTTTAGCTTCTTTAGAAGTACATAGCTAAATAAACAATTCTAAATAGAGGAATATGGAATGGTGGAGAAACAAAGAAATGCTCAACATCCTTAGTCATTCGAGAAATGCAAATCAAAAAGACCCTGAGATTTCACCTTACACCCATCAGAATGGCTAAAATAAAAAACTCAAGGGATGATGCATGCTGGAGAGGATGTAGAGAAAGAGGAACAGTCCTCCATTGCTGGTGGGAATGTAACCATGTACAACCACTTTGGAAATCAATCTGGCACCTTCTGAGAAAATTAGGAATAGTGATTCCTCAAGATCCAACTATACCACTCCTAGGATATGCCCAAAAGGTACCCCATAATTCAATATGGACATTTGCTCAACCATGTTGATAGGAGCCTTATTCATAATAGCCAGAATCTGGAAACAATCTAGATGTCCCTCAACAGAGGAATAGAATCAAAAAGTGTGGTACATTTACACAAGGGAATACTACCCAGCAATTAAAAACAAAGAAACCATAAAATTTGCAGGTAAATGGTAGGAACTAGTAAAGATCATCCTGAGTGAGGTAACTGAGAGGCAGAAAGACACAAATAATATATATTCACTTATAAGTGGGTACTAGACATATAATATAGGATAAACATAAGAGTGTAATTCTTTAAATTCCATGAAAATGGAGCTATAAAGTAATGATGTATAAAATGTATAAAATAATGATGTAATTTCAGGTGTTAGAAAAACAAGAGTAAAGTCATCTAGAAGTAAATAAATTATATTATCAAAGACAAAATTATTATGTTTACAGAAAATGTACAGACTGGAAGATACAATGTGTGGGGTAACAGAAGCTCAGAAAAAGAGATAACATACCTTGTCTCTTTTTTTCTTTTTAATTTTAATTTTTCTTTTTTATATTAATTATAATTTATTCATTTGTATCCCAGCTGTGACCCCTTCTCTCATTCCCTCCCAATCCCACCTTCCTTCCCTCATATCCTCTCAATCCCCTTTCCAAGTCCACTGATAGGGGAGGTCCTCCTCCCCTTCCATCTGACCCTAGCCTATCAGATCTCATCAGGATGGGCTGCATTGTCTTCCTCTGTGGCCTAGTAAGGCTGCTCCCCCACTCAGGCAGAAGTGACCAAAGAGCCAGACACTGAGTTCATGTCACAGACAGTCCCTGTTCCCCTTACTAGGGAACCCACTTGGACACTGAGCTGCCATGGGCTACTTCTGTGTAGGGGCTCTAAGTTATCTCCATACATGGTCCTTGGTTGGAATATAAGTCTCAAAGAAGACCCCTGTGCCCAGATTTTTTTGGTTCTGTAGTTCTCTTGTGGAGCTCCTGTCCCCTCCATGTCTATCTCCCCCTTCTTTCATAAGATTCTCTGTACTCCGCCCAAAATTTGGTTATGAGTCTCAGCATCTGCTTTGATACCCTGATTTGTAGAATCTTTCAGAGGCCCTCTGTGGTAGGCTCCTGTCCTGTTTCCTCTTCTGATTTCCATCCTGTTTGCCCTTCTGAATGAAGATTGTTGATATTACCCAGGGTCTTCCTTCTTGCTTAGCTTCTTTAGGTGTATAGATCTTAGTATGTTTCTCCCATATTATATGTCTAATATTCACTTACAAGTGAGTCTTTCTGCTTCTGGGAAACCTCCCTCAGGATGATCTTTTTTAGATCCCACCAGTTGCCTGCAAATTTCATGATTTAATTGTTTTTAATTGCTGAGTGGTATTCCATTGTGTAAATGTGCCAAATTTTCTGTATCCCTTCCTCAGTTGAGGGGCATATAGGTTGTTTCCAGGTTCTTGCTATTATGAATAAAGCTGCTACAAACATGGATGAGCAAAT